TTCATCCTGAAAAGTTCAAGATATCTCCTATAATGGCAGCCACACACAACCTTGGCAACAACGGTATGATCTCTCTCCTTTATTTATACAACGTGTAGAAAAGAGCATCTTTTTTTTTCAATTTCTACTAGCTTGCTTCAAAGACTCTAATTGAATTTAATAATTTAAAGAAATATTCATCTGGGTCTCTTCAAACCCTAATCCTAATTTTCTCCTACAGAACCAGGATCCTTCTTCTCCAACAAATCTGCCAAGATCTTCGTTGCCGGCCACTGTGGCTTGGTTGGTTCAGCTATAGTCCGCAAGCTCCAGCAGCTGGGCTTCACAAATCTAGTTCTCCGCACTCATGCTGAGCTTGACCTTACCTGTCAATCTGATGTAGACACCTTTTTTGCCACCGAGAAGCCCCAGTTTGTGATCTTGGCTGCTGCCAAAGTGGGTGGAATCCATGCCAACAACACCTATCCGGCAGATTTCATTGCCATCAATCTACAAATCCAGACCAATGTGATCGACTCCTCATATCGACACGGTGTCACCAAGCTTCTCTTCTTGGGCTCTTCTTGCATTTACCCAAAATTTGCCCCGCAGCCGATTCCTGAAGATGCGCTCCTTACAGGCCCGCTGGAGCCCACCAATGAATGGTATGCTGTGGCCAAAATAGCTGGGATCAAGATGTGCCAGGCCTACCGCATCCAACACCATTGGAATGCTATCTCTGCCATGCCCACCAATTTGTACGGTCCCCATGACAACTTCCACCCAGAGAATTCCCATGTGTTGCCTGCATTGATGAGGAGGTTTCATGAGGCCAAGATGCAGGGAGCCAAGGAGGTAGTAGTATGGGGGTACGGGCAGTCCCCTTAGGGAGTTCTTGCATGTGGATGATCTGGCAGATGCTGTGGTATTCTTGATGGACAGATACAATGGGTTGCAGCATGTGAATGTGGGCAGCGGGATGGAGGTTAGCATCAAGGAATTGGCAGAGTTAGTGAAGGAGGTGGTTGGGTTTGAAGGGGCCCTTGTTTGGGACACATCCAAGCCTGATGGTACTCCTAGGAAGCTCATGGACAGCTCCAAGCTTGCTGGTCTAGGTTGGACCCCAAAGATTTCACTCAAAGATGGTCTTGTTCATACTTACCAGTGGTACTTGGAAAATGTCCAGCAATAATGCAGGTGATAACCTATTCATCCAAGTTCCACCTTCACCTTTATTATTTCCATTTTTTGGTAACGGAGGGAAATAATTATATGTTGCTTCTGTGCTTTGCTAGCATCTTTAAGGTTATGATGCCAGGTTGGGATGGGTGACTAGCGAGAAATTGTTAATCATGATTCATCCAATTTACTATTGTATACTACTGAGTGATTATAGTTTTACTATGTGTATTTTTAGTTATTTCAACCAAAAACATGCGGGATCATATTTGCAGAGGACCCTTGTTTGTGACGCTACAGTTTCTTCATTTATTTCTTTACTTCACAACCCACCTTTGAGAGCACATGTTATCTTGCATGAGGTGCAATTATAGATAGGGAGACAGGTAGTGTCCGCTTATTCATCTCATTTTCTCATGTGAATGTTGCACATGTTGTATTCAGTGGTTTCCAATATCGAAATGAGTTTCAGTTTTTAATCCTGCTAAATGAGTAAAAAGCATCTTTATTTACTGTTTTTTGGATTCACTTCTTATTCATTTTGTATCTTGTTTGCCAAAATGTCCTTTGATATGTAGACTTAGATTGCAATCTCATGTAGGGATAGATTTTAATTCCTACCTGACAATATAGAAAACTAGAAGTCCATCTCTTA